ATTACATCATCATAAAATAGCCAATCACTAGTCTGATCATAGATGAGATTATCTGAGCCAAATGAGGGAAAAATCATATTTTCACATTCAGTTGTTTCTTTTGTTAAACCCAAGTAAAAGTTATTGCACTATATTCAAGTATATGTAATCAAGAAATGCCATTTTTCTTGAGAAAACAAAGATGAGATTTTATTTGTATTTAAGGAAGTCTCCACTTAGTATGGCACTGTACAGTCTTACAGCTTAAAGAGAAGGCCAGTGCTTACCTATTTAAGAAATTTTTTGAGTATTTGCTATTATAACGACATACTTGAAATTGACCTGGTATTCATGAGTTCCTACCTCTCATAAACTGGAACAAACCCCTTGACCCTGTAAGTTCATCCCTATAAATTTAACTTAGATATATTCTATTTCAATTGCCCAAAAATAGATGATAGGGCTATTATTTGTGAGTTTGTAAGAAACTTAACTGTCTAATGGTAGGGGGCTAATTGAATAAATTATGCAATAACTATATGGAAAATTTTTGTGTCATCAAAGAGAATGTAGTAGTAACATTAAAAGATGGTTTTGCTACATGTTATGTGGTGTTTCTCTCATATACTACATGCAAACAACATGAACACTTGAGGTTATAATATTTATGTTTACAGAAAACAAAGAACACCTATATGTATTTAAGTTGTAAGGTATCTGGAATTCTCTTTCTTTAAAGAATGGGGAGAACTGTCCAGTTTGCTCTCTAAATTAAATTTTAACTGGTAAATAAAAACCTAAATATTTACTTACTGATGGAGTGTCATGAGGTACTTTATTATGTATACACATTGTATAATATTTTAACCAGGGTAAACATATCTACCTTGTCAAACATTTATCAATTCCCTATGAAGAAGACATTCAAAGTCCTCCTACCTTTTTGTCTATTTTTAGAATTTGAACTCAGGGCCCTCTGGTGCTAGGCAGGAACTCTATCACCTTAGCCATGACCCAGACTTTTTTTTGCTTTATTTTCCCAACTTAAGACATGAACATAAAGAAACCTTTGAAGTGAAGAAATATATGGCTACTCAAATAACCACAATAAGTATCCATTCAATTCTGAATGATCCCCTAATTAGTCATATGACATTGAGCAAGTTCTGTAAGTTTGGCATCTCAGTTTCCTTACCAGTAAAGTGGAATAAAAATGGAATCAAATTCACAGTGGTGTTGAAAGAAGTAAAAAAAAAAAAAAAAAGTAAGCTGCCTGGAAAATTCCTGGTATATAATAATGCTGAGTAAAGCTTGTATCTCTAACTCTTCTTCTGAGTTCTCAGAACCCATTGCCATCTCTGGATAAAAGACTGGTCTAGACCCAGTGCAGAGAAACAATGAAGGAAACAGGACCTCCTGACTCTAGATTACAGTTTAGAAGAGAAAACGAGAAATGTACAAATATAAGGTGGAATCCAGGACCATAGGAGGCAGATGCATGGGCATCAAGAGGAGGCAATAGTTAATTCCAATTGGTGGGTAGTACAGGGTTGGAGGTAGGGGATCAGATAGTAACTACCACAGTGCTGACTTTGGGCTAGTTACACAAATGGTGCCACTCAGCAGGGCCCAGCAACAACCCCATGGGAAAGTTTCTGGCCACACATACTCTATCTTTTACCCTATTGGAATGCTGTTCAAAGTGAAGGTTCTCAGAAATAGTACCATCAAATATCCATAGCTACAAACATTAGGCTTTTCTTGTCTTTCAGACCCTGAAGAATTAGAAAACGTAATTCAAGTATGTGAGGTTATTATTTTATAAAGCTCTATCAGAGAAAAAGCACCCCACAGAGAGTTTTACATCAAGATATTTATGGTCCAATCTGGCCAGGTTAGTAATAGAGAACAGACAGCATTGGTACCTAACTATGACTGGGTAGACAAGAAGAGAAAAATATGTTGGACTTTTGCCCAATACTCAGTAAGCAGATGGCCATGGGCAAAACCATCCTGACAATTGGCACCTCACGGGATGCTCTGAGCAGGGAAAGGGCTTGGAAAATGCCCTTCTTTGGCTGCCCTTTCTTCAGGAGCATATTGGTAGCACAGGATGGGGAAACTTCCTGACTGCTGCCAAGGGGAGCTGAGATGGCCTTTAAAATCTAGGCTACTGCAGCCTCCTGGGTAGTCAATCTGGTGCCTTTCAGCAACCAGAGAGTATCTTAAAGATGTGTATGCCAATTTCCTTTAGCACAAATGATATCCAACAGATCCCATTCAAAGTTGGCTCACAAAATGACAACAAGTAATGTTCCAAGATGGTGGAGGGGTCTGAGTCCACTGTAGCAGGAATATGGTAGAAGATTATTTTCTCTGATTTAGACTCTTACATTGGTGGCACATGGGTAACTAAGTGTGTTTGTGTTTTCTAAGAAGTACCACTGGACTGCTAAATTTGTTAGCTAGTTGAAGGGGCATTACCATAACAATCTACTTTGTAGAGGCCTGCTAATTTTTATTTTTTAATTATTTTTGGCAGTATTGGTATTTGAACTCAGGGCTTAGCACCTACTAGGCAGGTACTATACCACTTGTGCCACACCCTGCAACCCATTTTTGCTTTAGTTATTTTTCGGGTAGAGTATTGTGTTTTTGCCTAAAGTCAGCCCCAGACAGTGACTTCTCCTACGCAGAAGCTGGGATTATATTTGAGAGACACCATGTCCAGCTTTTTTGTTGAGATGGAGAGGTCTCACTAACTTTTTGCCCAGGCCGGTCTCTAAATTTAATTTTTTAATAAATTTTTTGTATATTTAAAATACACAATATAATAAGATATGTATAGGTAGTGAAATATTATAGTGAAATAAATCAATACATTCATCTGCGCACATAGTTATCCTTGTGTGTGTACACATATGTCAAGAACAGCTAGAGTCTTCTCATTTAACAAAAATCCATAATACAATTAATTGTTATTAACTATTGTCCTTATAGTGTACAGTAGATCCCTAAGCTTGGTTCATCCTACATATCTGCTATTTCGCATCTTTTCAACCTCCAGTATACCCCATTCCTGCAAACCATCGTTTTGTTCTCTCTATATATTTGACTTACTTTGTGTGTGTGTGTGCTGCAGATGGACCCAAAGCCTTGTACGTGCTAGGTAAATGCTCTACTAATTAGCCACACTAAGCCCTGACTGTGCTTTTGTTTTGCTTTAAAATTTTACATACAAGGGAGAACACGCAATCTATTTTCTATGTCTGGCTTATTTCACTCCACATAATGTCTTCAAGTTTCATCCATGTTGAACCATGTTTCCTCCTTTTTTAAGCCATTATTTATATACTTCACAGTTTGTTTCTTAAAATTGACGATCCATTTTTTTTCTCAAGTTTATGGTCCTGTTCTATTTATCATGTTCCCACAGATACCTAACAAGTTGACATTAAACACATATCAGTTATATCACATCAAACACACACACACACACAGACACAAAATAACGTTTAGTCTTAATTTATCTTGGAGAGACTTCTGTGAATCAACAACAAATAAAACACAATGTCAAACTTCTAGCTCTCTGCCAGGAACTTATCAACCGAGCATCAGAGAAAAGACCTCTATCATACATTTCTGTTATATGAGACAGATACTAACATGAATTATATTTAGATAACATTTAAGTAGTTTACATTTTCAAATCAGTCAGTCTTAAGGATAAAAGAATTACTCCCATTCTGAAATAAATAAAAAATCACAGCCAGTGCACCCCAAGTCCCCTCAATTTATGTTGTTTTTAAATAAATTACATAGGCTGTGTTGTTTTCTACAGATGGATTTTTAGAGCAGAGAAAACTAATTGTTATTTTAATTCTCTTAGGTCCTGAAACAGCTAAACAATAAATGTATTTGATTATTCACTAATCAACCCATATCAACCAAATAGGAAGAGTGTCTTATCTGAGAGAAAGAAGCCACAATCAACTACTGACTATGTAAATTATTATATTACTCCATAATAGCAGGTAAGGCTTAATCACATAAATATATATTTTGTGAAATATCATATAGAGTAAATATTTTAGTTAAAGATGAAATTGCACAATCAAGGAAAACATTGACAATGTATAATTCATGAAAATGAGATAATAAATGATCCTAAAATATAGTAATAAACATATACATACAATAAATGATAAAAAATTGGGGTGGGTGCAGATGAAGTTTGGTTGAGAAATTTAAAAAATCTCAATAAACTCATGTATTTATACACGATCCAAAGTTTCTCCCCCTGGCAATTAAGAAGAAATTTTAGATAAGGTATTCCTCTCATTTTCATAATGGGGAAGAGAATCCTACTCCACTCTTAAAAGGGAAACCTATAATTGATACTCAAAGAATGGCTTTTGGCCTCTCACCCATCATCTGGGGTCTTGAATGTATTGTTTTTCCCTTAGCTGGATCAGCAGTTGGCAAGGAAGTGTGTGATCATTCATGGGACTGTTTAGGATTAGCTGTGCAGACTCTGAACCCAACTCTTTCTATCATTAAGCTCCAAATTGTTTTATGGAGGACAGGTGAAGTCTGAGAGTCTATTTTCTCAAGTTCCTTAAGATTATACCTTTCTCTCATTCTTATAAACCTAATAGAATTTAGGAGCAGACCCCAGGCTGCTGTCTGAAGGGACCACCCTTTATTTCACAATTCTTTCCTTGATAATCAATACATCAAAGTTGCTAATGGGTTTGTGTCAACCTAGCAGGAGAATCTTGGTCTACAGTGTGTGGAGATAAATTTGGGCTTAGATAATAATAGATAATAAGAAGTATTTGAAATATGATCTACATGATCAAGCCCAACCTGTTAGAGAGCTATATGAGTAACACAAAATATTTCTCAGGGGAAACATGCAAACTCAATTCTCCCAAGTAAAAGCAGACCATCCTCTAAAGCAGCACCACTTAATGTTAAAATAGGATTAGCTCATAAAGTAGCATCTAAACATTAAGTACCTCCAGCCATGATCTTCTCCTCCAATTCTGCCATTTGCTTTCTATACGCCTTTAAAGCTGCTTCTTTGAAAGAAGGACGAATTCTCTTTGGCTTTGTGATTCCCACTGGTGGTTCAGGGATGTTTTGGTTTTCATCTTCTCTTATCTCCATTTCAGCTGCTGGTTCATTTAAGAGTTCCAGTTCCCCTTCACTAACCATATCATCTGCTTGCCCTTCATAACCCTCATCTTGTGGGGTTTCATAAGGTGTTTCATATGAAGGGAGGTCATACTCCTGAATTTGTTCATCTGTTTCAGTAATACTAGTCCTATTTTCTAGTTTAGCAAGGACTTGTTCCATCACTTCAACGTAGTCTGTTTCATTATCAGCCATTGGTTCACTATAGTCCTCTTCTTCCTCTGCTTTGTAGTAATAGGGCTCTGTGTAGACATCAGAGTCAAGGGTAGTACTTGATTCATTTGCAGTTGACTGAGATAATGTCCGGAATCTCCCCATTAAAGAAGAGCCACTGTCCTCGTACCCACTAAGACTCTGGGTACTTTTGTTCCATACTACTTCCAAAGCCGATTTAGCCCTCTGTAGGGTAGATCCAAATTTGGGGAAGCTGAAAGTCTTATCAGAAAGATCAATGCTTAATCGACTATGCCAAGATTTGGGTGGGGCATCCCCTGAATCATCACTTTGCAGTTCACTTTGACTTTGATACATCATGGCCAACTGGCCTTGGTTTTGGTATAGATCATTAGAACTAGCTTCCTGGTAAGAATCATACTGGCCAACCCACTGGCCTTGTGGTTCATTATCCAATCCAGGGCATGGAGATGAATTGTCATCTTGGGTTAAATCATAGCTTTCAGAGTCATCTTGAAAGTCACTGTGACATTTTCCCAAGTCTTCTAGGTCTTTATTGAAGACATCTAGCTGTTGGTCAGATAGACTGTTTGTGTCATAGTCTAAAACTTCCTGGATAGATGAATCCAAGCCTAAATCAGCCCCTTGTTCTACTTGAGTCCATTCCTTCCATGGAGAAAGATCCTCATGTAAAGAGAGCTGAGAATCACTATAATGACTTCGGTCTCCAGATGCACAAACCATGCTATTACTCATTCCACTGTCTACAGTTTCTGTATTCTCAATTTCACTCTGCGCTTGGACACCTTGAGTACTCCCATCCAAATGCTTGTCCTGAGGACTGTCATATAATGTTGGTGTGCCCTCTTGTTTCCTCTGCCAAAGTTCCCGGTCTGAAGATGACAAGAGGGAGCTCCCATTAGTTCTAGTAAAATATTGATTTTCTGAAAAATCTTCTGAGTAAGACTGACATAGTTTGGAAAAATCTGATTCAGAACGACTAAGTTTGGTAGTGAAGAAATCACTTTGTGAATGCCAGAGAGGTGTTGCCTCTGCATATTGGGGTGTGGTTTGCTTTTCCAAGTTATTTGATCCTGGCAGTTGTGAGGACATTTTATCATAATCTGATTTATTTGAAATCCTGCTGCTATTAGCATTTTTATTCTTAGATCTAGCACTGTGTGATTTTGAGCTTGACCTAGAAGTACTTTCCTTTGTTGGAAATTCTGGCTTGGAAAACATGGCATAGCTGTTTCTATTGAGGTCAGATTCTAGATCTGCATCACTGTCATCAGGTGACTGCCAAGTGTTCTTGATTTTAGGCTCTGGAGTTGACAACTTCATATCCATGCTCTCGTATGTCTGGGAAGATGGTATCCCTTTCTCTTTTCTTTCTCTGATTTCGTAAGTCAGAATATCTGTTGAGATTCCAATGCCAGTTCCTTTGAGTTTATATGATTTTTTCAAGACAGAATCCCTTTGCTGAGGGGTTTCAAAGTACACAAGTATGGGCCGAGGTTTTGCATTTGGGCAGTCCCTTTGGTGTCCTATCCTCTGAGCAAATTCAATTTTAATAGCATTTGGTGCATCTGAAAACCCCATTTTATCTATTAGAATTTGGTACACGACACTTTCAACATATTCAAATCTTTCTTCAGGCACATTTAAGAATCTCAGGCTTGCCTTGCTCCCCATATGACCTAAGTGTTTAATGTAATCATGGATGTCTCTGGTTTCCCTCCGAGACTGCACAAACCCTGACCGAAGCTGTTCAATTTCACTTTGTACAACCTCCACACTGCTGGAGATCTCATCAATGGAGTGCTTGAGAGCGTTGACATGCCCTCGGAGTTCAGAAAGTTCTGTTTCAATCTGACTTATTCCCTGAAGTTCCTTAAATATCATCTCCATGACATCATGTGTTTGACTAATGCAACCAGAGGAGCTGAATCCTGGCTCCAGGGCATTTGCCTTTGGGTTTCTGGCAGTTCTATCCAAAGACTTGCTTCTAATTCCCCATGTTTTCTTCATGGTGCTCAACTCTGAATCTGAGGACACACACTCTTGACTCTTCTTCCATTTCCTCAGTTTTCGTAAAGCGCCTAGTTTTAAGCTATGTAGAGTGCGCTCCCCGTCAGAGCTGCCCTCAGAGGGAGCTAGGCTGCTTGAACTCTTTCTATTGCGTCTAACAGGCATGGTGTGTACTGACTCCACCTGGTTTATTGTACTGCTCCTTAGTTCATTTAGTGATTCTGAGTAGGAACTCTCAATTGAAGAGAACTCTTGAAGTAGATCCTCACGCTCACCACTGGTTACATTAGTATTCCTCTGCAGGCCATTGGCAATAGCTACCCGGTAACTGAATGTTGGTGAGAGAGAAAAGTCTTTGTTAGCCTCGTCTTCTTCAGTAGATAAATTGCGAGTAGTTGAACACTTTGCGAACTTCTTTACAGTGCTTTTTAAGGTATTAGAAAATTTGGGGAGGTTGGTCTGGCTGGCAATAGGAAAACCTTGATCCTTTTTCTGCTGCTGATTCTCTTTTTTTTGAGTTGTATTTCCCGATTTCTTTGTAAACATTCCTTTGCAAAGCTTATGTATATAAGGTAAAATCAAGCTCTTCAAAAGATTAGCCACCATGGAGAGCAATTAGTGCAAGCTTTTCTGCCCCAAAAAAGTAAACAAGGTATTAGGATGAAAATCTGTAAATCTGAGGCAAGCATCACAGTTCAGATGTTCTGGGAATCATTGAAAATAGAAAGGAAGGCCACAATGTCAATGTCCTGTGGAAACCAGAAGCAATGCTGCATTTATCAAAGACATTCTCTCCTGAAGGAGGGGTTTTGTGAATCTTTCTCATTTCCACATAACTTCACACAGAGTCTGAAAAGAAATGAACGTTGAAAATGAGTTTCAGAATTTAATTCTCAATTTATCCCATTTCTAACATACATATCATGAATACAAAAGTATTCATGATATACATGTATGAAAAACTGCAGAGAGGGCAGGGCAATATCTGAATTTAAATACAAATTTATTTATAAATTTTAATGCTTTTTCCTAAATCACTTATGGGTAGACACAACTAAGATAGTCATAAAAGGTAATAAAGATTATTGAAAGAACATCAATAAAATGACAATTTAAATAGTTACATAAACTTCTTAATGTCATTTTCACTTGATTTCCTTTTCTAAACTCTTATTTATTTACAGGCAGATAAGCATTTAAGTATATTCTCCCTACCTTAGATTTAAAAATTCACCAGATTTATATTATCCAAGATTATTATGCAAGACATCTTCTAAATTAAATAATCTTACTTTTTTCAGTGGTGCTGGGGTTTGAACTCAGGACCTACACCTTGAGCCACTCCACCAGCCTTTTTTAGTGAAGGATTTTTTCAAGATAGGATCTCAATAACTATTTGCCTGGTATGGCTTCGATCCATAATCCTCCTGATCTCTGCCTCTTGAGTAGCTAGGATTATAAGAGTGAGCCACCAGTGTCTGGACAATCTCTTATTTTTCAAGCTATTCAATGATTGTAACTTTCTTAAACAGTGACTAAAGTAATCAAAATAAATAGGTTTTTACGTGAGGAATACATATCAAGAGCAAAAAGGTCTTAGGCAGACATCAAGTTTGTCAATGGACTATCATGAGTTGAAAAAAATTAAAACCACACTAAGATTCCACCTCACCCCTGTTAGAACAGCCATCATCAGCAACACCACCAACAACAGATGTTGGCGAGGATGCGGGGAAAAAGGAACCCTCTTACACTGTTGGTGGGAATGTAGACTAGTACAACCACTCTGGAAAAAAATTTGGAGGCTACTTAAAAAGCTGGACATCGATCTACCATTTGATCCAGCAATACCACTCTTGGGGATATACCCAAAAGACTGTTACTCCAGAGGCACCTGCACATCCATGTTTATTGCGGCACTATTCACAATAGCCAAGTTATGGAAACAGCCAAGATGCCCCAGCACTGACGAATGGATTAAGAAAATGTGGTATCTATACACAATGGAATTTTATGCAGCCATGAAGAAGAACGAAATGTTATCATTCGCTGGTAAATGGATGGAATTGGAGAACATCATTCTGAGTGAGGTTAGCCTGGCTCAAAAAACCAAAAATCGTATGTTCTCCCTCATATGTGGACATTAGATCAAGGGCAAACACAACAATGGGATTGGACTATGAGCACATGATAAAAGCGAGAGCACACAAGGGAGGGGTGAGGATAGGTAAGACACCTAAAAAACTAGCTAGCATTTGTTGCCCTTAATGCAGAGAAACTAAAGCAGATACCTTAAAGCAACTGAGGCCAATAGGAAAAGGGGACCAGGTACTAGAGAAAAGGTTAGATCAAAAAGAATTAACCTAGAAGGTAACACCCACGCACAGGAAATCAATGTGAGTCAATGCCCTGTATAGCTATCTTTATCTCAACCAGCAAAACCCCTTGTTCCTTCCTATTATTGCTTATACTCTCTCTACAACAAAATTAGAGATAAGGGCAAAATAGTTTCTGCTGGGTATTGAGGGGGGGAGCGGGAGGGGGTGGAGTGGGTGGTAAGGGAGGGGGTGGGGGCAGGGGGGAGAAATAAACCAAGCCTTGTATGCACATATGAATAATAAAAGAAAAATGAAAAAAAAAATTAAGATTATATAGCTTTATAAAAATACTAAAATATCTTTGGATCTGCAGATGATGCATGCACAACTTGAAAATCTGTGGCTTGATACAGCAAAACTAGTTGAGTCCGCTAGTGCAGTCTTGTGGCACATGACTGAAAACCTACCCTGGGAGTTAAGACCCAGATTAGAGATGGAGGTCTCAAATCACAAAAAGAAACTGTAGCATGGATACAATAAGCATTCAGATCATCAAGAACTGGTTATCTAGAGTTCACTCTGTGATCTGGCATATTGAAATGCAAGTGAGTGCACACTAAGTAATCTTTAGGATGGCTGCATTCTTGGATTACATGAATTAGTTTTGCTGGTTTGCTGGCATGGTGTATAGCAGGTACTCAAAGTTGAATTGAATATTCAGAATAACAGTAACAGCCAAAAGCCGATTGATGGTTTTGAGGTATGTATTTGGGTAGATAAATAAGTTACCTAATTCACCAAAGAATACATCATAAACTGCCATTGTTTTAGCCTACTGATTCTCTCAGCTCCCAACTTGGAAACCTGCCAACTTCACATCAATCAGGCTCTGCAGGGACCTGGGAACACATGCTCTGGCCAAGAACCAACCTTCTCAAGAGCCAGGGGAGTGTGAAAGAGAAAGTCAAGAGACACAATGGGGGAGAGAAAAGGGCTACCTAAAAAAAGTCCATGTCTTTCTGGATTTCATAAGCTGTGAGTGTACAATATCTCTTCTCTGAACCAGTTTAGTATTCATTCATAATTATAAGCCAGGAACTGTTTTCTACGAGCAAAAATTAAAGAAATTTTTGACTCCTGAATTAAGCTCAAAAAGTTTTTATTATACCCATTTTTGACCTCTCCTTAAAAGAGAAGACTTTGGAAAGTGAGGCACCAGCAGGGTAAATAAACTATTTTAAAACCGATTTTGGTAGAAGTATTTTGCCAATCACTCAATTTAAAGTCCCAGATTCCCCAAACCTAGAAACAAATACCTGTGTTTTATTTAAATGAAAACAGCAATTCTATTAATGCCTCTGATATTTTCATGTCTAAACTTCTTGACCTGTATTACTTTAGAGGTATTTTTCCAGGCAATAACTGTTAGAAAAAGTTTGAGCAGGAAAGTTCAATCTTCATTCCTGCCCCACTAAACAATAACCCAAGATCATGTGTTCACAGTTTAACATATGAACTCCCTTGCTCCTTATTTCGACCACACGGAACAGGTTGTTACTCACTAAGGCCCTGCACTATTTCATACCTCAGTGACTTCTGTTATCTCTACTGGAAAATCATTCATATCCAGCCTTTCCCATCTGTAAAAATTGTGCTTAAACTCTAAAAGCATTTGTTCCTTGTAGAGTTCATTCACCAAATCGAGTTTTTCTCTCTTCCAGCCACACTCTCCTGTGACCCAGTTAGTAGTCATTAGAATTCTTTCATGTTGCAATTACAATTCTGCCTCCCTCCATTGCACTATGTCCCTTAAAGAGTAACAACTGTGTCATAGTTTTAAGTATCCTAAACCTAGCACACTAAATTTTTTAGTAGAAGAATTGGTATACATTTCAACCACTTACTAAATGTCTCTACCTAGTTAGCCCAAATTAAAATCTATCCAATACCTAGTCATTTCTCTCAATTATTAATCTTGATTAATGTTATCATAATTGTTCACATTCCCAAAACATCTATCAAGGAGTTTTTCTAGTTCCATATAATACATCCCATTTCCATACCCGAGATCACTATGTGATTTCCTCCTAGTACTAACATGATCCTGACTGGCATAATTTCTTATCAGGACTATTGTTATTGGATTAATGTCTTCTGTAATGGTTAATCTTGATAGTCAATTTGATTGGACTAGGAGATAAGTAAAGAACACCAGTGGGTATTTCTGTGGAGGCATTACTAGACACAATAATTAGATCATGAGGGCTCTGAATCCACTGATGGATTAAAAATTTTAATAGAATATTGGGAGTTAGTGGAACTGTGGAATGTGGGGACTGATTAGAGGAAGTAGGCTATTGCAACGGTGTGCATAGGGGCTATATCTTGCCCAAGCCCCTTCTTGTTGCTACTCTGCTCCACCTCCTGGTTGCCATGAAGTGAACAGTCTCTTCCTCTACACATCCTCACTGCCCTGATATGCCTAAGTATACAGTGAGAAACCCAGAGCCAAGTGACCATGGATTGAACCTCCGAAACTGTGAGCCCAAAGAAATCCTTCCTCCCTTAAGTTGTTTATGTCAGGTATTTTGTCACAGAAATTCAAAAATCTGACCAACAGATCTTCCTAACACGAAATTAGTCTTTCATTCAAATATTGAATTTCTCTAAAATTAATACACTTAAAAATGTATAAATCCTACTTAAAACACTAAGTTAGTAGTCCTGATTCCTGTCACTCCTAGAAGCACATTTGTCCCAAGCATGTTCAATAATAGCAATTCCTTGATTATGATGATTTTCTTTAACAATGTACCTTTTTCCATGCTTTTCCTTTTGTCTCCATTCCTTTAACCTTCCCTACTCGTGCACATGTCTCTTGTGTATATCTATATAATATGTATGTATCTTAGACCCAGTATCAGATTATCAGACCTTCTTGATTCTAACACTTCCTCGTCTGTGCTCTCACAATGCTTTGAATGTATCTCTGTTAAGGCAACAATAATTATTTATGTGACATATTTTTCCTATGACCTTTGACAAGAAGGGGTCATGTTCTATTTAACTTTAAATGTTCACATTGTTTGATACATAATGTACTCACAGTATCTTTTGGATAAATGAATGAACATATAAGCAAATGAATAAATGTACAAATAATAAGCCCATGAATTAATAGATAAATAATAAAGATTCCAAAAAGCCTGAAGTGGCTGAAATGGGTCTTAAACAATTCATAAAAGCAGTGGTGTGAGCAAAAGTGAAGCATCAGAGAAATTCGTGGTATGTCCATAGATAAACATCTCCTTGGGCAGATAGGAGTGGTTATGATTGGGACTAGAGTTTGAGGAAAATGGAAACAGAATACAGACTTTTAAATCTAAGTTAAGTTCTATTTTATGAGGAAGCACTAATGGTTCCTGTCTTTCAGCACAGTTCCTTGATCCATATTACTGGTATTGAAATCCCAGCTCAGACATCTCAGCTGTGTGATTTTGAGAAAGTTACTGAAGTTCTCTACTGCCTTAG